TCCCTCGTCCAGGATGGTTGAGAACAAGACTTGCTGGTAGCTCAGAGTAGGGTCTGTAGCTAGCCTGGCGTTGCGCTGCAGCACATAAGATGGCACACACCGGGCTCCGTTCGAGTCGATGTAGAGGTTCATGTTGACCAGCTTGTCCTTCTTTGCGTTCTCGGGGACAACGACCGTGGTGACCGTTGTCGAAGGCTGGTCTTCTTCCGTGCGCGACGTACGGTACAAAATTTCGTATGCCGCCTGGTACTTCACCTTGGCGATCTGGAAAAAGGCAATGTCAACCTTCCTGCTTCGAAGAACAGTGCCATGCTCCTTCTCCTCCCAGCCACTTGGCGGATCATAGAACGGATCCTTGTCTGGAGTCTGGGGCCTAGGGGAGCGCTCCAACACTTCAGCCGAAGTGTAGGCCAGCAGAAAGAGACAAAGAAGAGCGAATTTCCAGAGAAGAGGGGCCATAAGGAGAACTCATGTGCTTCCCCGCATCTTTTATAGCCCCATGATTTCCCCTCTTTGTCTCCAAAGCTTGGCATGTGAGACAAAAACAACTGCGTAACCATTCGCATGCGGCTTAGGACCATCCGCGCATGGAAGGTTGGGTCACACGACATGCACGGCGTCTCCTTGGCTGGATTTCCCTATGCCTGAGCGACGTATAAGCGTCATGCAAACTCAGAAGTGGGGTTACGACACAATTCAACTATGCTCGCATACGATTGGCTGCTATCATTTTTGTACGAAAATCAGTTTTGGTTGTTTTCATGCGTGGGGTTGGCTCCTATAGAAATCACATTTACTATTGGCCAAAAAAGCGATCACCGTGAAACTATGCATGCCGCATAGAAAAACCAGCGCTGGTGCACCTAGCTTTAACGCTGGCGATCGAAACCTGTTGGCGGTGAAAAATTCCGGCGGCCAATGCCGCCTCTATGGACGCCCCTTGGGCCCCCGGTCGAGGCGCGAATATTTCGCAAAAATGATCAGCACAACCAGCCCCACTGCTCGCCACCACAGGAATACTGACAGAGCTGCGCACAAGGTCCACAAGCTGCACGTCAAAGCCCGCATGACTCCCATCTCGATCAATGCTGTTCACGAGCAACTCGCCTGCTCCTAGGCGCTCGACACCACGTGCTAGCTGTACCACGTCCACATCACGTTCCTCACGACCGCCCTTGACCGTGCATTTGTACCACCAGCACACCGGCTGTCCGCGCGTTTCAGGCCGCTCATCAGGACCAAATACGACGCTGGGCGCATGCACACCCGCTGCTTCGGCACTCTCGACGTAAACGCGCTTGGGATCCACACTCACCACCACGGCCTGAACACCGTATGCATGAGCAATCTGCTCGATACCGGTATCGCCACGTAGAGCTGCACCAGGCGCTGCAACTGGATCGCCCGACATATCACCCGCCTCATTCGCACGCGCAAGCAGTTGCTCCACCGCATAGACTGCCTCGCTGCCTATACTTACCTTGTCGGCGCCAGCACGGAAGTAAGCATGTGCGACCTTTAACGCGGGATGGAATGTGCCATCTGGATCGGTAAAGTCACGGATACCACCTCCGACGGTGAGCGGCACAAATATCGTGGCAGCCGCAACGTTCAACAGGGATAACATTGGCTGATCATTTAGAGCCCAGTTCCGGAACGACGTAATATTGAGAAAGGCAATTTCATCGGCACCTTCGTCGTAGTATCGCTGTGCGAGCTCTACAGGCTTGCCCATATTGCGCACGTGCGAGGCGCCAGCATCCTGTTCGCCACGCTCGCGTACGTCGTAGCTCTCTCCCTTTGTTACCACCAAGTCACCTGCGTCGTTGCTGCGCACGTCCAGACATGCCACGATACGCCGTGTCGGCATGTGCTCGGTGGATGTCACGGGACGTCCTACGCGAGTCACAGGCTCAACGTGCTCCAGCCGCAGCCATGCAGCCAGCAGGTCCAATCCCGCCTGACCGCTCTTTTCAGGATGAAACTGTGTGGCAAAAACGTTTGCATGCTGAATGGATGAAACAAATACCTCGTTGCCATACTGGGTCGTTGTTAGCGCCCATTCGGCGACATTCGCATCCCATGCGACTCGGTACGAGTGGACAAAGTAGTAGTGAGACGGATTTGAATCATGCATACCATAGCTCCTCGCAAGCTCATGGCGTTGATCAGCGCAGCCGTCCCATTCGACAACATTGGCTAGGCTCCAGCCCATGTGCGGCACAGCCTTACGACCCAACGCATCTTGTGTGGCAAAGCGGCCGACGCGTGCAGGCACAATACCCAGACCCTGCACACCAGGCGATTCATCTGATCCCTCAAACAAGACCTGCATACCTACGCAGATGCCCATCAGTGGCTTGCCACTCTGGATATACGCACGCAGTGGCTCCACGTAGCCCTTGGCATGTAGTGCGTCCATCGCGCTTGCAAACGATCCAACGCCTGGAAATAGAAGCTTATCAGCCTTGCATATATCAGATGGCTCACGAACCCATTCGTAGGTATAGCCCAGCTTGGTGAGTGAGTTGGCTAGACTCTGGATATTGCCAGCGCCATAATCCAGCAAATAGAGCATCGCGGTCAAACGAAGAGGATGACGTACCTTGCCGTTCATCTCTCGTCCACGTGACGTGCACACAGACCAACACCTGCCCGGCGCCACCCCATCCATCGTGCATTTATTCATGTCCGACCATCCCCCGGCACACGCTCGTGAGCCCGTGCCCGATACATACTCCCCCGACGCGAATAAAGCCAATGGAATACGGGATGTGGCTGTGCGACGATCGGACAAGCTGCTGGTCCTCCAGAGCATGTTTAGCGTCGTATGCCGGACTATTGCCTACCTATTCCTGCGTGTCATCCCGGGCTCCTTTGGATTCTATGCGATCCATTTCTATCTCGGGTACCTCGCTATCTGGGTACTATATGATGTACGAGTAGCCTCGCAAAAAACTCGCAGGATGCCCTCGCTTTCCTCACTCGTGTTTGGGCACTCGACATCGAACCGTCCATGGAATATTGTGCAGCTCGTCGTGCATACCCTTGTGCTCTTGTTCGTGCTTGACCTCTACTACATGCCATATTTGTTTCCATCTCATCGTGAAGCATCTCTCAAATTCGCCCGCGTCGGTGCTCTAAGCTCTTCGTCGGCTACGCTGCATGTTCGCTACCCCGAACCGCTCCCTCGTGTCACGGGTCTGTGGGAAACGGGCATTCAAGAAGCTCTCGTGGATGCATCCGACATCAATGAAGCACCTCTACGCATAGTTTGGCGACGTGTGCATGAGAGCGAAGTCAAAATCCGCGCTCCCAGCACCGTACGCGATCCACGCCGATGGGAGCGTGGACCAGTGCTACACTTGTCAAACGAATCGGATTGGACAGCTACGGCAACGCTGTCTGACTTGTGGCCTGCGACTAAATACGAATGGCGCCTTGCTTTTGTGCACAATAATACCTTCGCCCCGATGCCTGAACGCCCCATACCTTTCGTCACATGGCCGGACTCACGTTTGTCAGCGTATGGGAAAAGCAAGTTTGTTCCGACGAACAAGACATCGAGCATTCCACTCGACGATCCGAATCATTTTAGTTTTGCTACCCTCTCGTGCATCAAGCCTGACTTTCCGTACCACCCCGCCCAGTTCTGGGGCTGGAACTGGCTCTTGCGTATGTTTGGTATCGGAACGCAGCCTGGCGGCATCACTTCACGGAATAGTATTCGTGGCTTTGACTTGATGGCGGATCACTACCTCCGCCGCTCGAAAATGCCTAGTCTTCGATTCCTACTCGAGCTCGGCGATCTCATCTATGCCGATGTACCGCGGTACGAAGGTCCAGATATTGGCTCTTACCGCAAACTGTATCGCAACGTCTTTGCATCGCACTCATTCCGTCGCGTGTACCAATCCATTCCTGTCATGGGCATCTTCGACGATCATGAAATTATCAACAATTGGAGCGGCGCTGGGTACACTAATGCAACCGAAGATGAGGATAGACCTCAGGCACCAGCTGGCATTCATGCAGGCTTAAATGCATGGAACGAATATATTGGTCATGCGAATCCGTCACCTGCGGTCAAGAACCAGCACTACTACTCATTCCGATACGGCGATACAGCCTTCTTCGTTCTTGATGTGCGTGGGCACCGCACACATCCTCAATCTGCTGTTGAAACACCCACCATCCTTGGAGAAGAGCAGCGTGATGCTTTTTTTTCTTGGCTTGCACAGGTGAATCACACAGCAACATTCAAGTTTATTGCCTCGTCAGTCCCATTCACAAGTCTGTGGGGCGGCCCTCTAGATCTAGACGGACGTACTGATGGCTGGGCATTCTATCATGAGGAGCGCAAGCAACTACTCGATATCCTTCAGTATGTTCCTAATGTCATTCTCTTAAGTGGCGACCGCCATGAATTTGCCTCGGTGTCTTTCCGAGATACTGTGCTTGAGTTCAGCACTAGCCCACTGTCTATGTTTTACATTCCTATACGAACACTTGCGCAAGAGCACTCGATCGACCCGCCTGGCGAAGAAACCCTGCTGAAATACATCCCCGATGGGAACCACAAGTGGACCGAGTTTGAAGTGGATACACGCGATCCAAAACAGCCGCTAGTCGTGGTACGTGTATATGTCGATGGGAAAGAGGCTTGGAATCTTCGCATACTCGGACAGCCTGTCAACAAAACCCAAAGTGCTTTGGGAAAACTCGCACAAAGTCTTCTTGAGTTGTTCGGTTTTCGTCAGCGTAATTGGTTCTAACTCTTGCTGATATCGTATCTTTCAAAGTTGAAAAATATTCCTCCAACGCCAAGCAGTATCCCGGCTAGCTCAGTCGGTAGAGCGTCAGACTCTTAATAGAGTCTCTTCGAATGCGAAGAGTTATCTGAATGTCGTGGGTTCGAGCCCCACGTTGGGAGTTCTTTTTTGTTTCGCAGAACCTTTGTCCTATGCAACAAATAGTCAACCGGCTTCGTTTTCAATGTGTCCCGGCTAGCTCAGTCGGTAGAGCGTCAGACTCTTAATAGAGTCTCTTCGAATGCGAAGAGTTATCTGAATGTCGTGGGTTCGAGCCCCACGTTGGGAGCTTTTTTGCCAGCCAATTTCTCAATAGAGCGCAGTTTCTCGTCCATGTCGGCACCAAACGCTGTCTCGTTCAATTTTTTTTTCTTGGATAAACGCTGATCTACACTAGATACGAACACTGGCGTTGGCACGGTTGATGGTGCCAACCTTGTGCTGCTCATCTCTGCGTGAGAGCACAGAGCTGTTTCCTTCCAAAATCGCTAGCATCTCGACGGCCAGACGACGACTAATGGCGCGGTCAGCGCGGCGGTCACTCGCTTGAATAATCCATTTAAGAGCACGACGTGTACTTTGCCGCTCATTCAGTGGCATGGGCACCTGGAGAGATTTGCCTCCTTGTTTGCGTGTCTGCATGCGGAGCAGTGGCTTGGCAAGCTCTACTGCCTCATATACAAGTGGAAGTGGATCTTTATTCGTGAGCCTGGCCATTTCAGAGAGCATGTCTGCAACGTATCGCTCAGCTGATGCCTTCTTACCATCGCGCATCAGGAGGTTAACAAGGAAATGAAGAAGCGGGTCTTGACGAGGGGGGAGTGCGGCGGGAGAGTACATGAACGATGCACTTTTACCAGAAATTGAGTTGACATTCAGAGATGACTGTCCAGGCAACATGACCTTTAAGCCACTGGCAACAGATTCTTGTGCACCTGCTGAGGTATATGAATCAGGCTGTGTTTTGGGCTCTTGCGATGTAACTGACAAAAAGCGCACAGCTTGTCTTCTAATTGTGCGACTGGACATCAGCGCAGCTGTGTTTGTGCTCGGCAAGCGCCAAGCGGGTGCAAATGCGCGAAACATGATTCTCACACCGTGGAGAGGAAGCCCTACACCCTTTGCAAGCGATGCTCATTTCCAAGAAGGAGAGATCACGTGACTGTTCTGGACTGAGTCGCATTCAGTGTTGCCTCGCAGGAGAGATTCGCCCATGACGCCTCGATCAGAGAACCCGACGCCACGGCCGCCAAGTCGTTGGGGTGTCCCCCCACCAGGCCTTCATGCGCGACCAATTCAAACATCGCTAAATTATAACCCACGTGATAAAGAGCCATTAGCGCGTTCAAGCACCTTTTTGCCTGACATGGACGAGGTATGTTTGCGTACGGCTGACTCGAGGTCCATAAGTTACATGCACAACGCATGGAGCATGTGCGTTCTTATTACCTGGCATCGAACAAAGGCTCTAAGGGGGGAGGTGGCGTATCTATTTCGCCTCATTTTGCCCTCCAAAGTGCCTTGATGGAATTGAGTGATGCGAATGTTGAGATGGAAGCTATGCGCCTGCGTACCACACATATCGATGACATCCTGGCACGTACGCAGGAAGACGCTTTTGCCTATACCAGTGTTGCGGCTGCAGCGCCTACAACGTCGTCGCCGCCGTAGCCTCGATTTAGTAAAATGTACAATAACCTCGTTGACTAAAAAAGGACTCACCTAACGCTTGACGGGTCGAATTTGTTTTCCTTGGGCAAGGGACGTGCGACTTGGTTGTCGGACTGCATCAAAGCACAAACTTTGTGCATCAATGCATGACGGGTGACCGAGTAACTGTGACTGCAGACGCTAACACATCGCAAAGTATGTGTAACGGACCTGTAGATGACTGGGCCTCTTTTGCTGCTCATTATGTGACTGGACCTCAAGACTCTGCATGCCATCATACGAAGCCCGGCTCATGCACGTCATTCGCAGATCCCCCGCAAGACTCATATACCCTCGCACTAGGTAAAAAGATGCAGCAAGTATACGAATCAGAAGGGTACTTGCCGACCTATACACATGCTAAACATATCAACCATTTACGAGCTGTATGGTACAGTCGCCAAATCAAAAAGCATGACACCGGCACTCTATCCCGCATTTGCCGACTACTATCTCAACTTCTTCAGCTGCCGTATGTTTCTGTCAAAATTATGGCGCCTCACTCTAAAAGTCTCAATGAGGATCTATCTCCTTACCAAGTCATGTCTGAGTGGACGCATGCGTCAGAAGATGGAATCCAGCCTGACGAAACAGGCTTGTGCCAGAGTATTTGGTCGCACGCCTTGTACCTACCTTTGAATCAAGTCCTTGCTGTGCCGGATGCCCTGGAAGATTGGCGCTTCTCACATCATGCAAGTCGACACAAATTGCGCTTTTTCGCATGCACGCCTATTTTTGATACCCATAATGAGGCATTAGGCGTGTGCTGCATGGGTGATATCAAGCCTAGGCATGGTTCAGCTTTGGAAGACGCCGCTCACTCTATACTCGACATGAAGCAAATGATTATCAACGACATTGACCTGGCCGTCAACCGAGCCCAGGTCTTTCGCCGCGATGAGCTCAAAGGATGTACAGAATCGCTGTTACGTACCTTTCGCATGGAGTCAGTGGTCGATCCACATGTGAACATGGAGCAAGAAGGCTGTAACCAGATATATCGTCTCGCCGCCAACGCTCTCCAATCGTCAATGCATGTTTCTGACGTGATCATTCTTGACTTGTCTAATTTCATCATGATTCAGAAACCGTTTGAGAAAGACGGGAACAGCAATCCGCAGGTGGTCCATTCACACACAATGGATCCCAATATGAGTCTAACACACATTGCACCCCTTTCGATCCTAGGGTCGAGCGAACGCCAAGTGCATGTCCCCGAGCGTGAAGCGGCCCTTGATATGAGCGACGTGCGCGCAATTCAAGACTTTCTCATGTTCACCGAGTCAGACGACGAAAATCGCTTTCGTCTTCATGTGCCACCTGTGATACGCCGACTCCTGCCTCGTGAGGCAGAGGATGTCTTTGCCGTGCCAGTGTGGGGTGCCAAGCATCAGCCATCACTGCTGGTGTGTGCTTACTGCCTTCCCGACTGCTATTCTCTCATGATCGATCAGATGCAGCACACCGCGCATCAACATATCCAGGCCATTGGACTAATGATGCTCGACGTGGTAGACAAAGAGACAGTGCTTATCGCTGACCGAGCCAAGTCGACGTTTATTTCCAACATGTCGCATGAGCTCCGCACGCCACTGCACGGCATTCTTGCATCGACAGATATACTGAGTGAGTCAGGCCTAAATGAGCTTCAAGGATTTTATTTGGAGACGATCAAGTCGTGTGGGCACGGTCTCTTGGAGCTCGTAAATCATGTGCTAGACTATACCAAGCTGTCTGGCGGAGCCTCTGGATCTCAGCAACGTCCACGGAACATCAGTATGAGCGACTTTGATCTATCCCGTCTCGTACAAGAAGTGTGTGACAGCCATACACTAGGCCACCAAGTGACTCCTCTGCACGATAACCAAATCGGTTCCATGTACGATCCGCAGGGGGCAGCTGAGGAGCGTGCTCAGCGATGGTCTGACGTGGAGTTTGTGGTCAACATCGAAAAACGTCTGCATGGCTGGTACGTTCATTCAGATTGTGGTGGGCTTCGTCGTGTGCTTATGAATCTCGTGGGAAATGCTCTCAAATTTACCACGAGAGGATTCGTGGAAGTGTCGTTAAGTGGCACTGATATCGACCAAGATACGCTGCAGATCTTTTTGCGCGTGCGCGATTCTGGTTGTGGTATCTCGCGCCAATTCCTTGATCAGCAGCTTTTCCACCCATTTTCTCAGGAAAATCCGTTGGGAAGTGGCACAGGCCTAGGCTTGTCTATCGTACATGACATCATTCGCTCGATGGACGCTGGCACAGTCGATGTGCGCAGCGCACAGGGTATTGGTACTGACATTACCACATCGTGCCATGTACGCAAAGTACCTGCTTCTTCCGATGTGGCATACATTCCCCAGCTTGATGTGCATCAGAGTTGCACGGCTCACTTGTTCGGCTTTCCCACTGACACGGATGGTGGACGTATTCTCCAGGAGACAATAGTGCACTACCTTTCGACATGGTGGGGATTCTTGGTTTGTGTGCACCATGAAGACGAGGATGCCTCATCGCTGGTCGCTAGTATGACTCAACGGAATGTGGTGCTACTGAACAGTCGTTCCGCTCTTGTGCACCGAATCTTGACGCAAGACAAGCTTCCTCCGCTCATCTCGCTGACAGATTTGTACAGCAAGCAGCCTTTCGAAGATACTCTTGAGGCATACCGTGAGGCTGGCGGCCGTACCTATTTTCTCCAGAAACCGACGGGACCCGCGCGCATGGAGGATGTACTCCGTGCATGCCTAGAGCAAGTCCCCCAACAACCATCTGGATCTATCTCGCTTGCCCGCCTCAAGGTGAATGGTCTGCCCGAAGTGTCATCCGCGATTCCTGCGATCAACACCAGCCTTAGCAACGTCCTGGCTTCCCCTGATCGCAACGAGCTTGAACGCTCCCTTAACGAAGTCGCTGCCTATGCGTCCCCCTCATCGCCAACGGTAAAAGCGGCACCTGACGCCACCTTTACTTTCCGCGTTCTTTTTGCCGATGACAATCCCATCAACTGCCAAATGCTCGCTGCCTATCTTCGAAAACTCCATTTACCATACGTGGAAGCCCATGGTGGCTGTGAAGCCGTCGCCGCCTTCGCGACCAAGCCACATGGATACTTCCATCTCGTGCTGATGGACTTCTCGATGCCGAATATCGACGGTTTACAAGCCTGTATGATGATCCGACACATTGAGAAGCAGCGCAACATGGAAATGGAAGCGCAACATCGCTGTCACACATACATGCTGTCTGGTGCCTCCATGGAGGAAATTCTGCGTCAAGGCACTAATGCGGGAGCCGATGGCTACCTCGTCAAGCCACTCAGTTTCAAGGCCTTTGTAGCCCTCATCCAGAAGCTAGATGAATAGACGCATTCTACGGCCACAACGCCCTGGGCGCTGCTTGGGCTGCAGATGGGCGTGCTTGACAGCAACGCCGACGCCGGTGATTAGTCAACTCTTTCCGCCCGGCTAGGGCGAGAGTTAGGGCGCCCGTGCCAATCAATTGCTCCGACCACTCGCTCCGCTCTGCTAGCACTTATCAAATCGCTTGGCGCATTATTTCGATTGCTAGCTGAAGGCTAGC